GTGCTTGATTGTTTTATGGAATGATCAATATATATAATAAACAAGTATCTATGGAAGTTGTGTTGGAATAAAATCCACGATCTAGGTATTTAAGAAGGTAAAAATGTCCGATAAAAACAAATTTGTGCAGGGCCTAGAGTGGGATCAGAATGCTTAGTTTAGAAGCTGCCAACTGTAGGCCTAGGCCTAGACTTGCCACAAGTCTCTAATTTATGGATTTTTCCTAGTACATTAGCGAATTTCGGAAAGGGCCACCAGCGTCAGTTTATGTTGAGAAACTTTTTTGATGAGAATTAGAGACTTGTAAAAGAGTGAGTCAAATCGAATGCAGACCGCTGGCCGTGACAAGCATGACGTAATTTTTAGGATGCCGTATTTGGCAATAGGGTGAATGTTATGACGGAAGGTCAACCAATCAAACGGTTCTCGTTTTGGTGCCACGAATGTAGAGAGAAGTTGGGACATGGTACCGTACGTGCAGGTGTGTGGGATATCGTGGTACGTTGTTAATGGAGGAAAAGAAAACACCAACCAAAACGCCAAAAAAGCTGTATTCCAGAGAATTTTTTGTTCTGCGCACAAGATCGAGTGCGTGGAAAAGCTGCAGTCTAGAAAGTATTTGGTTTGCGAACTGCCTTAGGTTCACGCGAGGCTCAGTATTTTAAAGACTAGAACATTTATCAGACCACCACTAGGCCTAGGCCGACGGAAAAGCTGTCATGCTCTCGCAACTGCAACACAAAATTGAAGACAATGTATACCTGGATAAGCTATGGGAGTTGTCGCGGGTACGTTTAAGTATTTTTAAAAACAAGTGAATGTCACCAAAAAGAGGAGCAGCCCGTCTGTATTCCAAAGAGCAAAGAGAAATTTGATTAGCGCGGCGAAACATGAATTAACCACCTACAGCTCTGTCTCTTATACACATCTAGATGTGTATAAGAGACAGTAATAGGGTAATAATATCGATAATAAAGGTGACAACAACAACAATATATAATAATAATAATAATGAGAAAAATACTAATACAACGCCAATAACAACAACTGTTTAAATTACTATTATTAAAATTATAATACTAAGAATAATAAATAATAATAATAATAATAATAATAATATGAATAATAATAATAAAAAATCGAAAATATGATTTATTATTTATATGGTACTGTAATAATAATAATATCAGCAATATATAATGTTAATGCTAAGACCTGTCTCTTATACCCATCTAGATGTGTATAAGAGACAGGTACTATACCAATCAATAAAGTAGTTTATAGAAAAAAATATTTAATACTGCAGTAAATTGATTTCATTATTTAGAAATGTTAATTTACAAATTAATTTATCAAAGTTTTTTTTTTATGTTTGTCCCTAAGAGGAAGCCTCTTCCCTCTATTTTTTGAGTTTGCTTTCCCTGTGGGCTGGTGGCCTAAAGAGATAGGGAAACGTTGGGTGTTGGCCCGAACAAACGAATGAAATAGTAATCATATGTAGAAAATATCATAATTTATCATTACATGTAGAGTATATGCAGTACTTAGAATGTAGAATATATTGTATTCTCCTAATGATATGTGCATAAATGGTAGAATAATGGTAGATTTAATAATATATATACTACACTGTTTTCCCAGTCCCTAATCCCAGAAAAAGTATACTATGGAACGCCATGCAAATAAGTAATATGGAATGCCATTTGTGCCAAAATCGATTTATTCTTAAGCATTTCAACTGATTAAGACAAAGATTAGGGACTGGAACCCAGTCTAGCCTAGGCCCACTCAGACTTAGCTGCGTAAGCCTGTAGGCCTAGCCTAGGCCTAGTTTATGCCAGTGTAAGTAGTATTAGTGCAAATATATTAGAATTTGGGTCAACCCCGATTTTACGAATACCCGAATTTACGAACGGCTCTGGGCACGTGCCGTACGTAAATGAGGGGTTCTACTGTATATGTAAATTCCCTGCCAGAAATTGTTGATTGTAAATGTATCGTGTACAGTATGCTGACGACACAACCCTTTTATGTTCTTACTCTGACCCTGTTCATCTTCAGTCTTTGATTGATACAAATTCTAGTAAGATTGCTACATAGTTTAATACTAATTTACTATTAACCCTTAATGTTAAGAAATCTAAATTTATGTTATTTGGCACTAGGTTTTCTCTTGATAAATTTATTACTGTAATATTTTTCTTTCTATTAACAATTATGAAGAGTTGAAAGCTTCAAATCTCTTTTAATTACTTTTGATTCACTTATGTCATGGAAAAAATCATGTAGAACAAGTTACATCTAGACTATCACAACATATTGGTATCATTCATAGATTAAGATATTCCATTCCTAATTATGCTTTTTAAGACTGCTTGCTAATGTAATTGTACTTCCTTGTTTAATTATTGTAGTAGTGATTGGCCAAATTGAATATATATTTGTCTTCAAATTCTCCAAAATAGACTAGCTAGCATTCTTCTTTATGCTGATATGTACACCCCTATTAGGCCAAAAAAAAAATGTTCTGTCTCTGATCTGCGCGCGTGTTGATTTAGACACTGCGCGTCAATTTTTAGTTCCTATGCATGTTATGCAATAGGAACTATTGTAATCACTCTTGCTATTTCCTATGTTTTTTATTGTGTGTAGTGTGTGTGTAGACATTTATGCAAATACGCATACGTCAAAGAAAAGTTTTCCGACATTTTGTTTTACATCGCAATGCGAAGATCGATGTGAAGTTTCTGCAGAGTTCAGTCAGGCTCACGCTAACCAACTGGAAAGTCGGCATGGATGAAACTATTTTGGTTTTACGGCAAAAAAAACCAACTTCTGTAGGCTTAGGTATTTTGAAGAAGGCCTAAAATAAAACTAAAATGTTTTAATACTTGCTGAAATACATCGTTTTTTCATTTAGATCTCCATTTTTCACTAAGTCCATGCGACGGTACTATATCCCCGACAGTTGGCTGTGCAGCAATGTAATCTTTGAATGCAAACTGAAAACAGGTGAAAATATAAAGGCAGCCGACTGTCGGGTACATAACGACTATCTAGCTTTCCACAAAAACATGCGACCTAAGCTAGGCCTAGTTCAGTATTACTGCGATGCGAGGGTGGTTAGATCGTTCAATCAGTGATATCGTGTTATCGTCTAATACAATTAAATAATGTGTGTAATATTTGTGTAAACCCACGGATAAGCATATGTACCTGCTCCCTAGTAGCTGTCATCCCCCGCACTGTACAAAAAACATTCCGTACAGCCAAGCATTGCGCATGAGACGCATTTGTTTTTCTGATTTAGATTTTCAGAATCGCACAGAAGAGCTATCCGGACATCTCCGGAATAGAAATTATCATCGAGGACCCATCGAAAATGCTGTAAAAAAAGCAAAGGACATACAGTACCTCGTGCTCAAACACTGACGTACAAACCACGTCAGCAATCGACCAGAGTGCCACTGGTCACTACCTATCACCCTAGATTACCACCACTAAGGGCTATAATTCAGAAACATATGCCCATTCTACAGACCACAGAACGTCTTAGGTCTGTTTTTTCGGATACACCGTTCATAGTCTATCGCAGACCACCTAACCTTTGTGATATATTACTATGATCTAAATTCAAGAGGCAAATTAACTCTTGCGACAGCCATAATTTGGGTAGTCATCTTTGTAGTTCATCATGCAAAACATGCTCCTTGCTTGATTCTACACAATCATTCAAGAGCAACCAAACTAACCACATATTTCGGATAAGGCAATCAATTAATTGCCTCACCAAAAATGTCATTTATCTCATATATTGTAATATTTGTGGTAAACAATATGTCGGAGAAACAAAAAACACTCTCCGTATGAGAACGACACAACACAGATCAGCTATCAGAACATCTAAGCTTGATCAACCAGTAGCCGAACATTTCAATTTAGCTGGTCATTCAATTTCAAATTTCAGAGTGATTGCAATTGACCATAATGCCAATTGGAGTGAAAAAAATCGCAAAGATAAAGAGAATCACTGGGAACTTTTACTTAAAACCACCACACTATTTGGACTCAATATTAGGAACGTTCTCCCAGTACACTAAATTAAACCTATGGCATTCCAAATTATTCTGAATAAATCATTTGGCTTATTCATTGAGGCATGCCTCTAAAGTTTAGTTTTGGCCTTCCTGTTTACATGTTTAGGCTGTTTATTCTAATCCCACCTAGCCTATTGTTTCTAATCATGCTTGCATGAAATTCTCACTTTATACTATCTGGCTGTTTCAACCCTCACTCACTCGCCACTGAGGAAGGACTAGTAGTGTCCGAAAGCTCTGGTTCTATTTCTGGCTGTTTACTTACGTTTACTTTTTAGCTGTTGCTTATCATTTTTATCTACCAAGATCCAGCCATTGTTTCCCACAGCATTGTTGTTTTTCAGTATTTTGTCTTTTAATCTATATACATATATACATATATATGCATATATACATTATAACATATATACATACTTTTATAAATACATATATACATATATATATACTTATATATATATATAAAATCAAACGAGTAGGTGGCTGTATCGGCTTCAATAAAATGGTAATAAAACGCATAAAGCAAAAATGTAGAGTAGCCGTAACTTTTAATGGTAAAAAACACATACATTTATATATATACACACATATATACAT